TCCTGAAGGTACGAACCTGGATACCTGAAATCCGATCATGGAACGCCATGAATCTCAGGAGATACTATCATTAGATACCTAAACTCCCTGAACTACGTTAGGCTTGATCCCTTGACTGGGTACGTAGGTAACTCTGTCATGAGTGCAGCCCCAACCTCATTTCAGCATTCTTTTCATCATAGCCAAAGGGGGCAGATGTTTAAAAACACATAGCCCAGACAGCAACTGTATGATTGCTACAACACGATGTATTCTATAAAAGTTATCAATGAAGCGATTACATTTTCCTTCAAAAAAATCCAGGTCCCTAGGAACCTGGACCTAAGGTCTTAAAATCCTTCAAACAAATCCAGGTCCCTGCGAACCTGGACCTGAGGTCTTAAAATCCCTCAAACGAATCAGGTCCCTACGAACCTGAACCTAAGGACTTAAATCCTTAGTAAATTCAGAAGTCTTGAAAACTTCAGAACGAATCCAGATTTACGTGAATCTACCCTTAATGGCCTTAAAAGCCCTTTGGAAAGAGTTTAGATCCCTAAAGATCTTAATCTAATCTCGAGGATCCAGGAACTCATTCCTAATAATCTCACGACCAATCACAATCGAAATCACTAAGTCCTCTAAGGTCACCAGGTCAGCTGTTAACAAGATCCGCGATCTGATTCCCGAAAGATCACATGAATCTCATACTTAAAAAGTCACAGTACATGACTCGAGTTTACACTTCGAACTCAAACAAATCCAGGTCCCCATGAACCTGGACCTAAGGTCTTAAAATCCTTCAAACAAATCTAGGTCCCTACGAACCTGGACCTAAGGTCTAATCCTTCAAACGAATCCAGGTCCCTACGAACCTGGACCTAAGGTCTTAAAAACCTTCAAATTAATTCAGGTCTCTGTGAACCTAAACCTAAGGTCTTAAAATCCTTAGTAACCTCAAAGGTCTTAAAATCCTTTAAACAAGCTAATTCAGGTTTCCACAAACCTAAACCTAAGGTCTTAAAATCCTTAGTAACCTCAAAGGTGTTAAAATCCTTTAAACAAGCTAATTCAGGTTTCCACAAACCTAAACCTAAGGTCTTAAAATCCTTAGTAACCTCAAAGGTCTTAAAATCCTTTAAACAAGCTAATTCAGGTTTCCGCAAACCTAATCTAAGGTCTTAAAAACCTTAGTAACCACAAAGGTCTTAAAATCCTTCGAAAACAAATCCAGGTTCCCAAAGAACCTCGATCTAAGGTCTTAAAACCCTTAACAAAATTCAAGGTCTTTAAATCCTTCGAATACAAATCCAGGTTCCCAAAGAACCTCAATCTAAGGTCTTAAAACCCTTAACAAAATTCAAGGTCTTAATATCCTTCGAAAACAAATCCAGGTTCCCAAAGAACCTCAATCAAAGGTCTTAAAACCTTAACCAAACTCAAGGTCTTAAAATCCTTCAAAAAAAAAAAAAAATTCAGGTTCCCAAAAACCTCAACTTAAGGTCCCAAAACCCTTAACAGCGTTAGAGATCTAAACGATATCCCAAGTAAATTCAGGTCCTAGAAACCCATTCTCGGGACCTCTCGCTAAAAGACTACGGGACCTGTTATCAACAGGCTCCCCGACCTTCATCCGAAAGTTTCCTAGACCTCGTGTCTAACGACTACGGGACCTGTTACTAACAGGACCCAGAATCCTTCGTTCAAGGAAGTAAAAACTTCTACTTAGACGATCGAGTCCGTATTAAGGAATTCATCAAAACATCGACGAAGATCAAAGATCCTAACAAAGCAAAAGTTTAAAGGCCTCCTCAGGTCACAAGTCTAACAAAGATAAAAAGAAAGCCCATTGGGCAGAAGTCTTGGGAACACGAAGACATAATCGCTAATTCAACAAATAGATAGAGATCAGGCGGTTGAGCTTTAGCTTCCGAGAAAAGAGGTCCCAAATATGGCCCGCTAGCTGAGACTAATGGGCTCGAGTGATCAGAGTTGACTATGGGCCACTGTAAGCCCATTGGCAATTAATCTTTTGAGAAAAGAGTTAAAAAGAAGCCGGAGACTGTTTTTGCTAAGGAAGGAACGTCAACAAAACAGGTCACGGAGGAGAGCTCCAGACCTCATTTTCAAGGAGCTAGCAGGAGTAGCTCAGGCTGGTTGCGCAGGACCCGGTCAAAAGGAGACTATTGAGAATCCCCCAATTCACGGAGAAAATCTCGGAGGCTGGTTAGGATCGTTCAAACGTGGCTGAGAGCTATTTAAAGAGGAGGAGGAGATCAGAGAAAGGGGCTCCCTCGCCATTCATTCATTCTACGATTTACACATGTTTAGTTCACAAAACGTTCTCATAATTCTTTGTAATCATCAGAATCATCTTATTAATCATCTGTAATCATCTCTTTACCAAAAACATCAATACAATCGCATTCTTTCTTCAAGTTCTTACAGGATTCAGCCCACGCTTACCTTGTCTCCAATCTAAACCTAACCTAAACTNATGTTTAGTTCACAAAACGTTCTCATAATTCTTTGTAATCATCAGAATCATCTTATTAATCATCTGTAATCATCTCTTTACCAAAAACATCAATACAATCGCATTCTTTCTTCAAGTTCTTACAGGATTCAGCCCACGCTTACCTTGTCTCCAATCTAAACCTAACCTAAACTAGGAAGTGAGTTTTATCCCTCACAGTGAACATCAACCGAGGCTTGAATCACCGTCGCCAGGGATAAAAAAGAAATCACCAACCTTAAAATATCATACACCGGTTGCCATTTTGGTAGCATTTGACCAAAGATTAGACGAATAAGAAAAAGTAGAGGACTTGGAGAGAGGTAACAAAGAAGATATACCATATATATATACTCTGTAATAAGCTAATATGAATGAATTAAACATATAGTGAGAAGGAGAGAGTGGGATTAGTGGGTTGTGTTGATTGATTGCCATAACGGCGGCGGAGCTTTCTTCACCGGGGAAGGAGAATCGGGAACGATGGATTTCAGGTTAGGTTAGATAATCTTTGGATTGAATATCGATACGGAAGATTTGACCATTAAAAGGAAGTGAAACAACATCAAAGAAAGTTGTTCGTTGAAATGGATTTGGAGAGAATAGTAATGGAAGATGTGGAAGTCGAAAGGTAAGAGACGAATGAAATTAGGGTTACGGATTACAAAGGATTATCACTCGATCGCAGAACAAATAGGCCGGAAAAGATGAAGCCTACAAATAATATAAATTAAAAATGACGTGGATAAGTGTTGTAATATTATTGGTTGATTATTTCAGCTGATGTGGACACTCTAAAAGAACTTTATTAAGCACTTTTAATAGTGTAAGATGTTACTACGTGAATGAATGACACAACTCTTTTCTATTGGTACTTGGTTGATTAAATTTAGGTAGAAAAGGGGTTCCACCGTATGGTTTGAGCATTTGTAAAATCTTTGGTTATTTCTGAACCAAAAGATTGGTTCTTGTGAGTTTATAATTGGCCCAATAAGGGAAAATTCTTTAAAAATACACCAACTGAGTTTCTTTTGCTAAAAAAATACACCAACTTTTTAGACTTCCCGAAAAATACACAGAATAATTTTGGTTGTCCACAAAATACATGAACTTTTGAATTTTGAAGGTTTCACACCTCGATTTTAACGGCGTTAACTCTGATTAACAGAACATTTAGACGTCGTTAGACGATGTTAACTCTAATTCAAAAGTTCATATATTTTGTGGACAACCAAAATTAGTCTGTGTATTTTTCGGGAAACTAAAAAAGTTCGTGTATTTTTTCAGCAAAAAAAATTTAGTATGTGTATTTTTAAGGAATTTTCAGAAATATACTAAGGTGGAAAAGACATTGACTTTTTTTGTTTGACTGAAAAATATNTGGATATGTATCATGTAATAGAGAATGTGTTTTTGTTTGGGTCTTTGGGTCGGGTTTGGGCCGGTTCTTTTCGGATCTAAGATATCCGGATCTAAGAACCGGCCCAAACCCGACCTAAAGATCTGAACAAAAACAAATTCTCTTCCACATGATACATATCCAAAAATTACCAGTATTTTCCACGTATTTTAATTATAGATCCGAAATGATCCTAGAAAAACTGGTCTCAATATGAACAAAATATAAAGAAGCTAAAAAACACATTATTCATATTAATACACACATTGTTCAAAATATATTAAAATACGTGAGTATTAATATGAAAATGTGTTTTTTTGGCTTCTTTATATTTTGTTTATTTTGTTCATATTGAGGCCGGTCTTTATAGAATCAGTTCGGATCTATAACTAAAATACGTGAAAAATACCGGTAATTTTTGGATATATATCATGTGGAAGAAAATGTGTTTTTGTTCAGTTCTTTGAGTCCAGTTTGGGCCGGTTCTTAGATCCGGATATCTTAGATCCGAAAAGAACCGGCCCAAACCCGACCCAAACAAAAACACATTCTCTATTACATGATACATATCCGAAATTATTGGTATTTTACACGTATTTTAAATATAGATCCAAACTGACCCTAGAAAAATCGACCTCAATATGAACAAAATATATTCAAAAATTACATTTTTCATTTAAACAAAAAAAATCAATGTCTTTGCCACCTTAGTATATTTTTGAAAATTCCTTAAAAATACACATACTAAATTTTCTTTGCTGAAAAAATACACGAACTTTTTTGGTTTCCCGAAAAATACACAGACTAATTTTAGTTGTCCATAAAATACATGAACTTTTGAATCAGAGTTAACGTCGTCTAACGGCGTCTAAATGTTTTGTTAATCAGAGTTAACGCCGTTAAAATCGAGGTGTGAAACCTTCAAAATTCAAAAGTTCATGTATTTTGTAGACAATCAAAATTATTCTGTGTATTTTTCGGGAAGTCTAAAAAGTTGATGTATTTTTTTAGCAAAAGAAACTCAATAGGTGTATTTTTAAGGAATTTTCCCGTCCAATAAATAACAAAAAGGAATCTCCGCGACTTCTCGACTCTTCCATAACCCCATTTTAATAAGCTTTTTTTGACAATTCCCCACTGTCTATAAAAATCCTCTGTGTGTTTCATACTTCTTATCTCACCGAATTCAAATTCTATCATCTTCAGGTAAAAATTTCTCGATTCTTCCATCATTCTTATTTTTGTTCACTGTTTACAAGTTTGATCTAAATTTACATGTCCAATTGATTGCCATTTTTTTGCCTTGTGTGTATGATGTTTCCAGGGTATCTCTGTCTTGTCTTTTTTATCTGTTCATCGAACAATGGCTCATATCCTTTCTGGATCTATTTCATTTTTGATTCTTTTCCTTGTTCATGTTTGAGTTTAACGTAGTGAAAAAAGAAAAGTATAAAATTTTGTCGGGTTATTATTTTCGTGATTGTATCTGTTTTGACTTTAACTGAAGCTAACGCGGAAACCAGAGAGAGCGGGATCGTGAAAGAGCTCAAGCTAGAGGTAATCACAAGCCTAAGCAACCTAAGAACGATGGATTAACCCCTGAACAGCGCCGGGAAAGGTAACACTCTTATTATATCTTGGAACTGAGATTGACATGTTCGATTTCATATATATACTTTTCTTATGTTCATATTGGTTCAGAGACGCGAGAGCATTGCAAGAGAAGGCAGCCAGAAAGGCAGGACAGTCAATGGGAGGAGGCAGTTTCCTTGGTGTTGGTGCTAAAATCAAGAAATAAAGAGGGAGATAGTGTCAATAATAAGATTTAAGGGGGTTTGGGGCATTGGAGGTTAATATGTTTAGTCTGATCGTCTTAACTCAATTATATATTGAGATGGGAAGAAATCTCTGTCTATTGTCATTTTAAGGGTTGCGTGTATGTCTTTAAAGTGTTGAGTGTCGTGTGGTTCTTATCTTGGCATATGGTGTTGGCTTCTGAAGTTTTGTTGTACAAGTCTTCTTCATATGGAATGTTCTTTAGCTCAACCTTATGCTCTTTTATTTTCTTTTTTTCTTTTGGGGGGGGGGGGGTAACGAAAGAGCGATTACAAGATCTTGACCTTTGTCCAGGTTTAATAATTACACAATTAGGTCTGGTATAGTATCATCTAGGAGCACTCGAGGGTTATCTAAGCTAATCTTATGCAATCTACTGAGCACTCTCATAAACTAGAACTCAGCGCTATTGCTCTTGATCACCACTACATCAGAATGCTATCGTTGGTTCTACATCAGTAGCGCTGACTTCGCATTAGACTTTTTTCATATGTGAGCAATGTCCTTGAACCTTTAGATTAGCCCATGAGACGGAACTGGGTAAGTGATAAAGATCCTCGATATGTGAATAAACTCAAACTATTGTAGCTTACAATCTTCTCATGAGCATAGCTGCAAAGCTCTACAAAGTTCACTCTCTTATTTCAATTACAATTTTGTTTTACAATGTGAAGTTAGTTTATTTTCACAGAAGTATAAAAACTCGTAACTGCGAAGTCTCTTTCTCCATCCGAGTCTTTACTAAATTTTCAAATTTTATTTTCTTCCATTTCTTTGGCGGCTTTGTTCTTCCTTGCGTATATCTTCCAAGGCATATCAATACTTCCCCTTTCAGATTCAGCTTATCCTCAAGCCGTAAAGAAGGAAATTGATGGTGTACACCACAAATCAACATCCAAGTGTTCTCAAGACAGTAATATCTCATCCACCGCATAACACGTATCTATAATATGATCCAGTGTGGTAAGAAACTCATCCTCCTTAGACAACCCTGTAAGCAAAAGCTTCAGAATGTGGGCCTTTCCTAATACTAGTTTCAATTGTGAAATATAGAACACCAGATGTATTTTTGAAGTTGCATGAAGCTGTAACTTATAAGCCACTTTTTCTATCCTTTCAAGCACTGGATAAAGGTCCACAAAAACGAGCTACGTTTTACCATCATAGACTGACGATAAGAATGACGTTTTAAAAAAAAAAACTTGACTGCCCATCTCAAAATGAAGGTCTTTTCGATGTTTATCTGCTATATTCTTCATCACCTCATGTGCCTTCAATAAGTGCATTTTCACACCCTTCAACATAACATCTCTATTAGTCGGTAAGGTTTCCAATTCACCATTGGTAGTGGAACCAACCTCAAACTTCAACAAGTGTGGCACTTCCCTTCGACATGCTACAATATACGGAGTAGCATGAACATAGGTATGATAAGACTATTTACCATATTCTGACCAATGTCTTGGATGAGTGGACATAAAACAGCATAAATAAGTCTCAACACAACGGTTCACCACTTCTGTTAGACTGTCTGTTTAAGGATGATACGCTGTGCCAAACTTCAACTTTCTTCCCTCCAACTTGGACAGCTCCTTCTAGAAATGACTCTAAAATATCTTATATCTATCTGAGACAGCCGAATTTGGAAAACCATGAAACCTTAGATCTCACGAAGAAATTTCTTGTCCACCTCCACTGTAGTAAACATATGCCTCAATCCAAAGAAATGACCAAAATTAAAAAATTGATCAGTCACCACCATAATCACATCCATGTCATTAAACATCTGTAAACCTTCGATGAAGTCCATAGAAATATCTTTACAAATGCATGTCGAAATGGGAAGAGGTTGAATAAGACCACCTAGAGAGAGAGTTAAATATTTGCAAGTTTGACACACTTGACACTAAACCACATACTGCTGAACATCTTTCTCCTACATTTCCAATAAAAAGTTCTCTCCATATTTTTAAGGTCTTAAGTACACCTGGGTGTCCTCCCATCAAACTGTCATGATGTTCCTAAGAATCAAGGGTATGTGAATGGATATAGGAGGTATAACCGTCTTATTTTGTAAAATAAACGACCTTCCACCACTGAATATTCTTCCTTACACTATCCTGGTTAACACTTCATAGGTCCCATGATTAACCACTATTAGGCCATATTTAGAATCTTTATTATGTATGTCGAGTCTGTTCTAATTCATTTATAGGTCGGGGTACGTTTTGGAGCACTTTGGTGATTATGGAACAAAATAGAACTAAGAAGGAAGAAAACTATAGCTGTACATAAAGGGGTGTCGCGATATGAAGTGAGCGCTGATTGACACTACGAATGACGAGACCGACGTGACTTTCAAGAATTATAGTTTTTTCCTAAAGCTTTCCGATTTACAAAGAAGCCCCTGGACATGTTAAATCTACTATTATGCATCCACTGTTTAAGCTAAGCTTTATATGATTTTTAGAGAAGTTTTAGAGAGAAGATCCTTGTGCAATTAAAGTCAACTATGATTTTTATTTCTTCTATCATGTCTGAGAAGTTTCATTGTTAGAAGGAAAAATTGCCAAATATGACTCAAAACTTGATTTGAAATGCAAAAGTAAACCCAAACTTGAATCAAATGCAAAAGTAACTTAAAAGGCTGTTGAAATTACAACCAACCCCTTGTGAACAAACAAAAAAAAGAGTCTTTTTTTTTTTACGTTTCTAGCCCTCGCAAGTCGTCTGCCCAGACGACTTTAAACTAAGTCGTCTGGGACAGTTTTTCTTAAAAATAATTTAAAAATTGTGTAATAAATATCTTGGTAAATGAGAAATTGGGATTCTGTAATTAACATATGTCTTAAGCGATATAAATTAATATATAAAAAAAGTCAGTTGTTTTCAGCATAGATGAGTGAAAGTAGTGAGTGATGATATTCTTTAGTTTAGTTTTCACCAACATATGTTGTAGTATTGTATGTGTTTCTTAGGGTTAGAAATTCGAAAGCATAAATGTTTTTTTGAAAACTTTAAAATTTACCGAAATGTGTTTATTTCTGTGTATAGTAAACAATATTTAAGTATAATTTGATTTTATAACATGGTTAGTAGTTAATTTAGTCAATTTAGTTTAGGGTTTAGGGTCTGGACGACTTATAATTAAGTCGTCTGGTAAGTATATTTAATAAGGCAGACGACTTAGTCGGATGTATAGTATCAACAGACGACTTAATAATAAGTCGTCCAAACCGGATTTTACCAAATTACTTTTAAACCTAACAGGATTTTTGACCGGACATATATAAGAAGATTTTTCTTTTACGCACTTTTCGCGAAATTCAGAAAACCCTAACGCCGTTTCTCTCAAAGGTGATTTCGAGGCAATTTCGATCCGATACAAGACCAAGGTAAATCGAAGGCTTCTCTTGCAGATTTATGGGTTTTTATTAGGATGGATGTATTTTTCCTTAACTTTTACCGTTTGGTTTTGTGTTTTCAACGATTTGGGGTAATTTTGGTTTCAAATTAGGGTTTCAAAAATTGGGGATTTCAATCGACTTGTTATTTAGTTAGGTTGGATATTGTTTTCCTCTCATTTTACGGTCATTTTAGGGTCGTCCACCTGGAAGTTCTACTGGAAGTCTTGGTAGACTTATAATTAAGTCGTCTGGAAAGTCTTCCACCTGGAAGACTTTCCAGACGACTTAATTATAAGTCTACCAGGTGGACGACCCAGACGACTTAGAATTAAAATGTTTCCAATTCTTTTCTTGTTTGCAGATGGCGAATCAGCATGAACCTCACTTCTTGAAGCCTCTGCTTCCTGGTTTCTACAGTGGCGTGGTATACACACGCTCTCTATTTCTCCTCTGTTTATTTCCTTTGCTTATCTTCTCCTTTGTTGACTTGTAGACAATACCACTTGCCCTCTACGCAAAACACATAGAAGGCACGCCGAACCAAGGAAAATGGACACTACGATCGGACGCTTCACACCAAACTTGGGAAGTTTTACAAGAAGGAAGAAGACTCACCGATGGTTGGGAAGCCTTCGCCCAAGAACACTCCCTTTGCATCGGTGACATTCTCGTGTTCAAAAAGGAAGGAGACATGGTATTTCATGTGACTCCTTTCGGTCCTAGTTTTACTGAGATTCAGTATACACCTCCTCAAGGGGATGATGCTGCGGATGGTGCCTCAACTTCCTCGTCTCTTCCTAAATGATGGATGTTTGTCTTGTTATCGTCTTATTGTAATCTGCTTCTAATGGACTTGTAATGGATGACTTCTATGTTGTTGTTCCCTTGTTTCAAATTGTTTTTAAACTTATGACTTGTAATGGATGATCAACTTTTATAACTACAACTCCTTTTGTCCTCTATGTACAAACCATGGTAACACCAATTTTAATTATTAGTCGTCTAAGAAGTCTAACACAAATTCTAACACAAATTCTTAAAACATACTCAAAAAGCCTGGACGACTTTGTAGACGACTAATATTTTAAGTCGTCTGGAAAGCCATCCAGCCGGAAGATTTGTCAGACGACTTAATTATTAGTCGTCTAACCTCGTAAGTATTCTATTCGGACGACTTTAAACTATGTCGTCCAGACGACTTAGTTCAAAGTCGTCTGGTATAGTTATTCTTAAACATAATTTAAAAAATTTGTAAAAAATATTTAGATAAGTGAAAAATTGAAATCATGTAATTAACACCAGTTTTAAGAGATATAAATTAAGATAGAACAAAATTTAATTATTTTTTACATAGATGAGTGAAAGTAGTGAGTGATGATATTCTTTGGTTTTGGGTTTGCCAACATATGTTGTAGTATTGTATGTGTTTCTTAGGGTCAGATTTTCGAAAGCATAAATGTTTTTTTGAAAAATTAAAAATTTACCAAAGTGTGTTTATTTCTATATATAGTAGACTCTATTTAAGTATAATTTTATTTTATATCGTGGTTAGTTAGTTAATTTAGTCAATTTAGTTTAGGTTTTAGGGTTTAGGGTCTGGACGACTTATATCTAAGTCGTCTGGTAAATATATTTCTCACAGACGACTTAGTCGGATGTATAGTATCAATAGACGACTTAATTATAAGTCTCCAAACCGGATTTTACCGAATTACTTTTAAACCTAACCGGATTTTTTACCCGACATATATAAGAAGATTATTTTTTTTACGCACTTTTTGCGAAATTCAGAAAACCCTAACTCTGTTTCTCTCAAAGGTGATTTCGAGGCGATTTCGATCTGATATA